GTAATATTTGGGGTCACAAGTTTTTGCCATGGATATTTTGTGGGTTAGAAGATAAAAAGTTTGGGAACCACTGCTCTACAGTATGCCAAAAATAAAAATGTGACTTTTCTGAAGGTGCTTCCTGACAAAATTGTTCATTTTGCAAAGAAAATCCTTTGTACCAAATTTTGTGTCTTTACAACTTTTCTAAACACTGATCGGTGATTTTGTTTGTTTGTTTTTCATGATTTCATCATTTTTTCCTCAGAATTGAGTGATTCCATTTTTTTTTCCTTCTGCTTGGCCAAAAAAAGTAACTGTTATTGATGGCCACAATTTTTTCTTGATTTATTTTAGTGTTTCTTAAAGCCAGAAAGTTGCCATTTGAAATGATTTTAGTTTTGTGTCATGTCTGTGATCTGATTTTTTTCTACAAAATTAAACAACTGAATGAACATCTTCTGAGGCCGGTGATTCCATATTTTTTTCCAGGGGTTGTATAGTATCAATTCACAACAAATGTGGTCTCAGGGCACTGTACACAGAAAACAAAAAATCAAAAGAAGCCAGCAGACTGCGCCGAATCTTCACTTCATCACAGTCTCACATACTGAGCAGCTCACCGGCAGCAGTGGAGAGGAAAAAGTCCCCCTTAACAGGAAGAAACCTTCAGCAGAACCAGGCTCAGGACAGGCGGCCATCTGCCTCGACCGGCTGAGTTGGGGGACAGGAAAGAGACACAGGCAAACACAGAAGGATTGGTCCAGTTGTATTTTCCTCTGGAATAGAAACAAAGGGAACATGTTATTGACAGAAGTAATTAAACATGTAGAGAAGAGAGATTAAAGGCAACAACAGAGTGAGAAAATGTGGTCAGTTTGTCCTCCAGCAGTCTAAGTCTATAGCAGCAGAACTCAGGAATAACTCAAGAAACCTAAGCCGCAAGCAGCGTTGCGGCCCTTGCAGCTTTGCACTGCTTTGGCCTTGTGGCGACTGTGGGGGAGGTGGCATTACCTCACTTTTGCATTTTTTAAAAGTAAAACAAGGTAAAATTAGGGGAAAAAACATAACCAATTCGTTGGAAACATCTCAAAATGGACTACAACTGAAAAGAATAAAAATAAAAAATAACCGATTGGTTGGAAACATCTCAAAACGGGCTAAAACTGCAAAAAAGCATAACCAATCCCTTGGAAGCAGCTCAAACAGTGGTGCCTGCATAATTTTTTTTCAGAGGGGGCCATGGGGGGCCACTGAAAAACCAGTGGTGGCAGACCAAAACTAATATCTATAACAGAAATTTTATGACGTGTTTGTAAAAATTACAAATTGAAAACTATGGCAATAGAAAGCTATGGATTTGCCAACAGATGTTCAATTTCTAATTTCACAGATAATATCACTGATTTTATGACATTCAAAGACAAAAAAAACAAGAGTAGGTATTTGTAATGTTGGGGGG